TTGCTGCCCCGAACGCTCTGCGCTTTGCCACTGAATAATAGATTACTTAAACTTACATCCCTGGTCCTTGTTCTTTCTGTATCGCATCGTGGTGAATTCACATTTCTCAGAAATTTGACAACAAAACAAAACAAAGCGAGTATTTTATTTGCTAATTTTTGCGATTTCTATTGTTTAATGTAAATTTGTCTTTTTAGGATATGTCGAGCCAACAAAGAAGGCGCAGTTGGAAAATTTAGTAATTAGTAATGAAGTAGCAGGCATATTTGGAAAATTATGCCATAAACAGGATGGAATTTGGGAAAGTAAGTGCATGGTTGCAGCATATCTATGTATAAAAGTATTTAATTAAATTGTTTATAGAAATGTTATAAATCGAGTGGCTCATTTACGATGTGCTCCAAACATTTGGCGAACTTTTTTTCGCCTTTTCAACGTGCTAAGTAACAAGTTAAGATGACTGTCATCATGGGCCGGTAAGAAACCGCAAGCAAAGGGCAGACAACCTTCCAGGAAGCTGCCTCCTGTCCCCGAGGCGAAGCTGCAGTTCAGCAAGAGCAGGTCAGCAAATTGCTACCCTGATCAAACGTAAACTAAAGCGCTCTGCTGTGATTGCACTCCGTAAATGTGAAAACTTGGTGCATGCTGAGAAATATCAAACAAGAAAACTCCGTGATGGACGCCGTGAGATGGTGTAACGCTGTGTGGCAAAGAAATGCGGCCAATTCGACGGGCCTGAAAAATCCAAATTGGCTTTTGTGATCCGCATCCGCGGTATCAACAAAGTTGCACAAAAAGTGCGTAGTTTTACAGTTCTGTCTTCGCCACATTAAAACGGTGAGTTCATCAAATTGAGCAAGGCAACCATTAATATGTTACGTATGCCGAACCCCCTATATGGGGTTATCCAAATCTTAAATCAGTTTGTGAATTGATGTACAAACGTGGAATGGTCAAGCGTGTCCCAATCTCTGCTTTGTGATCGAACGCAAATTTCGCGAAGCGCACGAAATTCAGTGCGTTGATTCACTTCACTTCAAGAAAGCCCCCAACTTCCTGTTGCTATTCAAGCTCAACACATCAACCCGAGGCTGGCGCAAGAAGGCTAATCACTACGTTGAGGTTGGTGAATACGGTAGCCGTGAGGATAAGATCAACAAATTGCTGCACAAGATGGCTTAAAGAAATTGTTGTTTTGTATTTAAGTAAATATAATTTGGCACATCTTCAAAAGACGCCCAAGCAAAAAAAAAAAAGAAAATTAAAAAATTCCTGAAGTTGCCTTTTCACGGGTCGATTTCTGTCGACTGGAAAATTTACTTAAGATATCGACTAGCCAAAACGCTTACATTTTACGTTGAATTGCAATTTACACGGGTAGATTTTGGTTAAACGACAAAAATCGACTGTAAAGGCAGCTTAAATAACGTTCAAATTAATCACCCCCTTTGAGATGGAAAATACCAATAACCATTTCATAATTTCGAAAACTATTCCATTTATATTTGTTCTTGCATTTTCCACACCACTTGTGAGGTATGCTTTTACGCGCGTTACCGATTTTTTTTTAATGTGCTCGGTTGCCCAGGAGGCCTATTTTCACCTTTACAACTTAACTTAAACAGAATTAAAACTAAAGCATGCAATATATAAAGAAAATTAAAAGTTGTCTTACATCTAGTAAACTTAAAAAATTGCACATTAAATTCATTTTTCATTATAAAATAAAATTAAATATCACAATTCAGTTTACAAAATGTGGTCTGTTTGCACCCACAGTAAGTTCCCATGAAGCCTAGCCTAAATTCAGAATTGAAAAAAAAACGAGCAAATGGGGTCGGAAACTACTAGCCCTAAAAGCATAATGTGGAAAGTGTTTGAAGGGCTGCGAAATTGAATTGCAATAATAAAAATAACAGTGCATAAATTGGAAAAAATGGTTTTTGTTTTGCTTTATAATTTTTGGGAATATTGGTTCAGATGGAATTTTTTTATTTGTTTGGTTTTTCAGCTCGTTAATGATGCACCCAGGGTTGCATTTACTGTCTATGAAAATATTTCGTGAAGCGTTCCAAAAGTAGCTCCGAGCACCTAAAAGTTGGTTAAGCTTAAATGAAATAGTTTTTTTATTAAATATTTATTCTTGGTATTAGTAAAAAACCTCAATACTAATGTATGAAAAACAAAACATCAATGCTAATGTATGAAATGAAGTAAATAAAAATCTACGAATACATTCCATGAATATTTTGTCATAGAGCCATTAAATTTAGACATAACTTTGTCAGGCGTTGGTACCTACGTATATAGAATTAATGCGTTGGAGAGAGATAAATATACAAGTTCAACGCGCTAATTTTGGTATCCTTGTATGTATATACCTGTTACTCGTCTGGCATATACTCCAACTGCGAAAATAATGACAATTATAATTTATGTAGATCCCTGGATAAAAGATTGTCACAAGTTACTTTCGGTAACTCACGATTGAAGTTTCGAATGCAATTTCTCAGAAACACGACTACAGATTTTCTCCAAAGTGTCGGAGAATGCTATGTACTAGTTCATGAAATTCTTAAATTATCTTATTTTTTTTTTAGTTTAGTGTCAACCATTTATGAGTTTAATAAAATTTTGTCGTATACGACATTTGTCAAAAAATTTGCAGTCAGTTTTAGTGATATACGCCAAAATGTGATAGCAATTTTTATAAATTAACCATACTTTTTACTAATCAGCCTAATCGTGAGTTTCGCCCGAACAAAATTTCGCCAACACTTTTTTCATCCACCTGTAGTGAACACACGCAAACGAAAAGTTACCCGGTTCTAGAAAATAAAACTCATGATAAAGCTGAATATGTCGGAAACTAAAGAAGAACAGATAACTCTATTTGAAAGATCTTGATTAGTTTAGTACGACAGCAATACTAACTCAATTTGTACCAAATAACCGAAAAAATTTTAGTCAATTAGTCGGAAACTAAAGAAGATATCCAAAAACCACAAATTGTCAAAATGACGCTTCCGACAATTTTCCATCCAGGCGACGATATTTGAATAGGTTTGTATAGTTACCAATAGTCAGTACTAATTTGTATTGGAACCTGCAAACTTTTACTGGAAAAGTGTATGATAACCCAAAAAATTTGCAAGAGAGCACTGAATCGAGAGCGTAACAACACGAGAGAGCTGCAAATTCTTGCTAGTGACATTTTTACTAGCAGAAATTAGCTAGCAGAAGAAGAAGAATAAATGTCAAAAGAATATATAAAAAGTGGTGTTACTAGCTCAGTTGATTTTGTGTATGTGTTTCGCCGCACGGCTTCTGATATCAAATTAAAAAATATTGTTTGAATTTCTACTCACACTTACAGGTTTTGACAGTTTATGCCGCCAAAGCAAAAACAAAATACATGTAAATTTTTGTTTTTGTACTCCTGCTATCACCTTATATTGATTCGCCTTGGCACAAACAAAAGTAAAATGAGTGGAAATCATAATATTAATGATGTACTGGACAGTGTAAGTGCTTGTGTGTAAAGCAAAGAGTTTAAAACTGATTTATAAATAGTAAAATGTTTACAGCAGATTGTCAAAGCAGTGCAACAACTGTTCTCTTGCAAGTTTTTGCTAGTTTTGTGTTCAATAACCTCTTCTGCTAGTTTTCTCTTCTTCTCAATTTTACGCTCTATTTTGCTTTTACGCTCTCGCTGCAATGTTTTACTGGAGAAGTTACTATACAAACCTAATGTTACTCGCATATTTTCGAGCCTTTATGTAAATTTTCGGAAAAAAGGTTAAAAAGTGTATCCATCTGCTGAAAAGATATTTTCGCAGATTCACAATTTATTTAAAATAAATCTATTAGCCCAATCTCCAATTCCATGTGAATAAATCTTCCCAGTGCTTAAATAATTTTCACCACATTAAATAGCTGCACAACACCCTAATTGCCGAAAAAGCGTTGCTTGCAACACTAGTCCTTTATGGGGACCAAGGCGTATTTAACAAGGTGGTGTTGGCCGTATATAAGTAAAAAATTACACTAAGGTCGGTGTTATGCAGAAATTTTGTTTGGCAAACTGCGTGCAATTGTTGTTGCAGCAAACTCGGAGAGAGCGAGTTTGGCGACTCTCAAGCTCGGAACACTTTGACGACAGCAAGCGACAAGCAGCATCTGTCAAATTTTAAATACACACGTTCTTACGGACACAATTATTTTGACGACAGCACGACATCTTGGCTGCAGGACTGCAATTGTCGACGTCGCCAAATTAAATCTATTTCTAATTTTGCCGGCGACAATGAGTAGATGTAGTGCTGCAAAATTCAATTGTCGCAAAATTAATCACATATTCTTGATTGTTCATGTTTTTCTTATTTACTTAAATAAAAATACACAATTTGTGAAATAAATATACCAAAATGTCAAACTTTAAAATCAGCTGTTTGCTATGTCGCTGAGGTCTTCAAAATGTTTAAGAAGCTGGCTTCAAGGCGACATTTGTCGACAAAATGATGTCGCTGTCGTTACGTCGTGAAGTTGCAGTCGTCAAAGTGTTCCGAGCTTCACAGCAAACTAATTTTGTTTGGTCAAACTGCAGCAAATTCGGTGTTGCCATATACAAAAATTTTAAATTTTGCGCGTTATGTACATCTGAAATTCTCATTTCGTGTTGGCAATAGCCATGAAAACCATAATGAACGTGCAACCCTGTGCCAAACTCGACATAACCACCTCCGAGCAAACTAAGCAGCCGCCATTTAATTTGGCAAACAAAAGTTTGTCTGCATAACACCGACCTAACAAATTAAACGCTGATGTCCATACTGTCATTGGTATGAGTTACAACAAACACATCATTTTGACGTAATGGCCTCCACGGCGAAAAACTCAGCTGTCGCCGCAACACCACCTTGTTTAATACACCTTGATGGGGACCAAACTTGGCGAAAAAAAAATAGCTAAGTTTGTTTACTGGATATACTGAGGTGAAAACGGCTGCGAAACTATTTTCGCACACAGTTGCACAGGCCATAACGAGGGCTGCAAGTTTGGGCCATTTAGCAGATAAAAACTGGAACGAATGTTTCCAGCTCTTCAAAATAGTAAGTATAAGTAAATAAATATAATTCTATATGCTTACATCTATACATATATTTATCTCCCAATTGTACAAATTTTAGACAAATGACTGGTTTGATGTGCTCAACGTGAGGGTGCCTCACGCTGACTCAAGGAAACGGTGTCACCCTTATGGCTTAGCGAGGGAAGAGCAGGACAACATTTTGGATCAATGACTGCTTTGGTTAAAACTATGAGTGTAATTGGAAGGCAGTCCCTTCTTCCATTTCAGAAAGGTAAACTTAGAAACTTATATGAAAACTATTTAAAATATTCGATTCTATTTTGTTTCAAATCCCTTAAATATTTAGTCTGTTCCAATAGCAGTCCGGTTTACAGGATTTAGTCAGAACTTACAGGAAGTCGTTCCTATTGACATAAAACCTGTAAGTGGGAACACATTTGAGAGAGTAACTGAGCAACTGTTCCTAGTCAGAAGTTACAGGATTTAGTCCGGAGATTTTTTTCCTGTAAGTTCATGAAAAGTGTCAAACGATCAGCTGATTTACATGTGCAAACAAAAACAGAAAGCGGTGAAAGCAAAGAACCTTATATTTGTTATAAAATGGAAGTAAACAACGAAATATTTAAATATGTATAGATTTTATTAATTATTTAGTGATATTTCAGCCAAATCAGTGTAGTGCCAATGACATGTAAACAAACCGTCTGACGTTTTTACAGGAAATAGTGCTTTTTGCGTTCCTATGCACTTCTGCATCTGTTCTCCTTTTACTCTCATTTGAGAGCGTAAAATTGTAGTTTGACAGTTCCACAGGTTTTAGTCCGAAGTTCAAAGGAACAGACTAATAAATATATGTATGGATATATACATAAGTACTTGTTTTTTACCCTTCAGGAATCATACAAAGCAATAATACATTGAAGATGATGTTTGATGAGATCAATTCTCGCTTCGATGTAAAATATGTACTAACATATCGCCTCAACCAAGATGTCTTGGAAAACTTCTTTGGTGTGATTCGTTCCAAAGGTGGGTTGCATGATCACCCGGACCAGCAGGAGTTTAAGTACCGCCTCAGACTTTATCCGCTTGGCCACAACAAAGGCGTTTTGTCAGACTCTGCGAATGTGGAGGAGGATGATACGCCGGACTTGGAAATGACGCAACCCCCACTCAAAGGTTCTTCAAAAATTTTATTCTTCAATTAAAATATATTATATGACATATTATATTCTATTATATTATTATATTATATTATCATATTATATTATACGACATATTATATTATCAGGTATATTCCTGCAAAATTTGCAAGAAGGCCCGGAACTATGGCCGGTTGAAGAAGCTGAGTTCAGCGACTTGGAGCATGATGGCCTCGAGCATTTAGCCGGGTACATTTACCACAGACTCCAGGATGACATCCCCAGCACATCGCTCAGGAGCAATGACGACCCGTCGTTTTCATGGACAAGTCACTTGAGCGAGGGTGGCTTGAAAGTACCCAGCTCTGCAATGATAGACCAAATGCGTCACTTAGAGTCAGTGTTTCAAGCAATGAATGATGATGGCTTGCTTATTACAAACGACTTTGTAAAAAAACACATTAAGCAAGCCTCGACAAAGAACTCATAGAAAATGCCCACAGTAAAAAAAAAGAAAATATAAAAAAATACTGACTTAAGTGCATTTGGTACCATCAACAAATAAGCAAGGTATGCAGCAGACCTGGTAAGTGAATAAATTTTATATTTTTATATTAATAAAATGACATATAGTCTGTTCCAATAGCAGTCCGGTTTACAGGATTTAGTCAGAACTTACAGGAAGTCGTTCCTATTGACACAAAACCTGTAAGTGGGAACACATTTGAGAGAGTAAATGAGCAACTGTTCCTAGTCAGAAGTTACAGGATTTAGTCCGGAGATTTTTTTCCTGTAAGTTCATGAAAAGTGACAAACGATCAGCTGATTTACATGTGCAAACAAAAACAGAAAGCAGTGAAAGCAAAGAAGCTTATATTTGTTAAAAAATGGAAGTAAACAACGAAATATTTGAATATGTATAAATTTTAATAATTATTTAGTGATATTTCAGCCAAATCGGTGTAGTACCAATGACATGTAAACAAACCGTCTGACGTTTTTACAGGAAATAGTGCTTTTTACGTTCCTATGCACTTCTGCATCTGTTCTCCTTTTACTCTCATTTGAGAGCGTAAAATTGTAGTTTGACAGTTCCACAGGTTTTAGTCCGAAGTTCAAAGGAACAGACTAATAGTGAGCTATATATTTACATATTGCAAAAACATTACCAAAATTCTTTTCTTTCTACGTACGTGCACTTATGTGATCAGAAGTGAAATATACCTAAGATGAATGCGTAGAATGCCTCCCGTAAGGAAATGTTTCATTAATTGCATAGCAATATAAATTCATTTAATTACAGGTTAATGCTCTTGATACACCAAAAGGCCCTTTTCAGGGCCGCCACGAATTGCTAGTGATCAAATTTTTTGCAAACATTAGCTTCTCTGTGTTTGTATACATAAAGGGCCCTTTTCAGGGCCGCAAAGAATTTACAAAGGGATCAAATGCTTTATCTAAGCTTATCTGGGTCTACATACACAATACCATATGTACACAAAAGGCCCTTTTCAGGACCGCAAAAAATAAACAAAGAGATCAATTTTTGACTGTCGTGATAACGAATAAGAAATGTACATATCGTCGTCTAAAGTACGACACCGCGTATCAACAAAATGCAAAACCGCGTATCATGATAATGCAAAACCGCGTATGTTAGGTTGAATAAATCACCACCAACTATTTTTTAATTGTATGAAATTTCATAATAAAACTTTTATGTTAGCTTGCGAATTCCTTAAATACAGTTTTAGCCGTTAAAGTTTATGACATACAACAGTACGACAGTATACAACACCTTGCTTATATAAAACATCTCCCTAGTTTATACATGTTAAAATGTTAAGCAATTGCTTTTTTCTTGAAATTGCATACCTTTCACTTAAATTTGTTTGAACATAATATTTGAATTATTAATAAACAAGCACATGTACTTATTGCCAATAACAATTTCTATTTTATTTAGTTTTAAACTTTTCTTTCTATATTTGTGATTACATAAATCGATTCTCGTTTTATTACACAGGATCATCTCTACTTTTTATAGAAAATTTTGAAAAAAAAGGGAAACTAAGTGAAGTAATTTTATTATTGGCAGAATTAGTGTCTAACCCTACGTGACTGCTTCTAAAAGCTATTGTGTTTCACGTGGCATATAAGACTTAATTTCATTATTACATTAGTGTGATTTATATGTATGGATATGAATAAGATATATATTTATGTATTTAAAAACCCACAACTTTAAGACCGCGCCTCTGAACTTGTTAAAATCTTGCCGTGTCACAAACATATTCGTTATTAGCAAGGAGCCCTGTTTCGCTGTACTCGAGCGAACAGTGCTAGCAGCAATTGGTGACTGCCCGAATTGATCTAGACGCGCTTTTTGTTGTTTGAGATTTTCTATACGCACTTCTAGTATCTGTTTGAAGTCGGTGCCCATGCTGGCTAATTTAGATTGTAACGCATACACCATGAT